GGGGGGCGCAAGCAGAAGTTCAGCTCTAGGAGGAGTGCTTGCCGCTTCGCAAACTCACATCTGTAACGCTATGCGACTCTTAAACTACCAGTCTAACGGTACTCAACACACAGGACAATATTGAAACGAGATTCTGGGTGATAATTCAAGACATCTAGATCCTGATAGCATGAGCAGCCTGAAGCAAAGCTTCCCAGCTACCCAGCTTGCCGCGCGATTTTCAGCTGCCAACCATGCCCCGCGGCCCCGCGGCTCCTGCTCCTGTTGCTTCTCTAACTTTTGCCGCTGGCGATCTCTCTCTTCTTGCTGCTGTCTGACAATGCAAGCGTTCAGAGTTGACGATCACTCCCTTTATGTTACGCATTCGAGCCAACTTGGAGCTCCTTTAGCTTCGAACCCCTACGCATTGATGCACAGATGAGGCACTGCAAACGTCGCTTTTCGTCTTGCAACTGGGCCATCAGCACCCGCTGCTGATAATCCTCACGAGATTAACCGACTTGATAATATTGAAGAGATAATTAATATTCTTAACAAGAAGCAATTAGGAACAAGTGCCACGCTAGTAGTAACAGGTGCCTTACTAGTAGTAACAAGAAGCTATTCTTCAATCCGCTTGCTGGGACAATCGGTGGTGATAAACTATCGCAGCTCCGCTCCTCCAAGTTCAAAGGCTTGCGCCGAAACTCTTCAGCTATGTCAGCTGGGATCCTTGGAAAGCTCAAACACAGTTCATCCGATCCAACCTACTAGCAATGGCCTCCAACCTGCTGGCGATGGCCTCCAACCTACTACAGTAGCGATGGCCTCCAACCTACTAGGGATGGCCTCCAACCTACTAGCGATGGCCTCCAACCTACTAGCTATGGTCTCCAACCTAATAGCAATGACCCTCCAACCTAAGAGCCAAGGATCTCTTCCCTCACGAATTGTCCCGTTGCTGGATCCCAAGTAAAGGCTCCTGCAACTTCTCAAACCATTAACGACAAAAGAATTGACATCCTTGAACAGCGTCACAGTCCCAACTCCTTCGCCAACTTCATTCGGGCCTTTGAGCACATCCACTTCATGCACCTGATCTTCTTCAAGGTCTTCATCCTCTTTCGTATTTGCCTGACAGTCAGTTATCCAAAATTGGAGTCTAAGGTCAGGAATCCATCGCTTTTTGATGGAAATGATCTTATTGTCCCTTATTTTATCCTTTGTGTTATCCCTTCATCCTTATATAATTTGTTCATACCCTTCATCCTCGGCTGGCCTTTGTTTGGCTCTTTGCCATGCGAGCCACAGCGCGTGCTTTGGCCCCTTCTGCCGTGACAGGTCCAGAGACCTCCACCTTCGCGTCAGATCCGTCAGGTTCTTCAGGATTGGGATCCGACACATTGCTCACACTGTCCTCGACAATTCTGTCCATGTGAACAGAAGGATAAAGTAATAGAAAAGCAAACAAACGCAAGGAGTGATGGAATCATGGGCTACAAAATACATGCTTGCTTCTGCAAGAAGCTTTGGGTGAGAGTGTGCAAGATTGGACAAGCAGAGAACAACCAGCAGCAGTCTGAACCTGACAAAGTTAAGTTTCCCTAAAATCTAGGAACCAAACAATCAGTGCAAGCGCTTCTTCAAGGAGGCTACCCCCCACAGCCTTAACTTCTTTGAAGAAGCGTGATCTATCCTGCGTCCAGTTACCAGCTAGAAGCTTATATAAATATTGCTAGGCGTGTTTACTCCCCTACTTGATCAAGTAGGCCTACTTAATGAAGCAAGAGCGTGCTCCTGGCATCGCTACTAGGAACAAGGACGCTACTAGGAACAAGTGCATCGCTTCTAGTAACAAGTGCCTTACTAGTAGTAACAAGAAGCTACTAGGAGCGATCGGACGCTAGTATAGCGGGTTTCTGTCGACGAATCGAACGCGAGGAATTCTGACGAAAGGTCGAGCCTCGTCGACATAGCTTTCCAGCATCGTGGACAAAGACTTGGGCGGTGCCTGAAAGGACACGCAGGAGCCCTTTGTGCGATGCCCTTTGTTCCTAGCTTCTTGCCGTCCTTGCTCCTAGTAGCGATGCCCTTGCTTCTAGCTCAAAAATTGGAAGCGGCAAAAAAAGCTGAAGTCATATGGATCCATTGCAAACCTGCGTGAAAAGGCATCCAACTATGACTACAAAGCCCACACCCGGAAATTGAAATGAAGTTTTGCAATAGCGGTACTAATCTTATTGAAGCAGCACCGCCTGTGGCTTGGCCTTGGACCAAGTTGCCACCTGACAAAACGTGTGCAGATTCGGGTCACACGCCCCTTTCGGACTGAAAGCCTTCACTGGCCTAACTGACGACCCACGTACCGTCGCAACAGTCGTCGTTTCAGCCTCCCGAGTCTCTCCCGGTTTCTCTTCGACACCTGGAAATGCAAAAATGGAAGAGGAAGACATCTCGATGCTTCTAAACCCTTTAGGACATTGAAGAAGGGAACTACAATGAACTGCAGACACTGCTCATTGCTTTTTCTCACCAAGCGGCTTCGCGTTCCCTCGTCGCCCGAGAACCTCGTGGCTTTCGGTTCTACTTGCACCACTCACATCAATCTGTGTACAAGCACGCATCAAGTGAAAGACTGAGAGATTTCTCAACAACTGGCTCTGCCAGGTGGCAAGACCTTGAACGCGGATTGCTCAAGCGGCACGGTTGGCAGCATTGGAGTCCTTGACGCACGAGAAGTAAATCATCTTGAAAATGTCTTTGTCAGATTTGGCAGGCCCGAAGATTGCAAGAATCTGCCGAGATCTTAGGTTGATGGTGCTGCTCAGTGACTGTTGGTTTTGAGATCCAAAAAAGGAGCGTTCGTTAACAAGTTTCGGGATAGACAGAGCAAAGAAATGTCTGTTTAGTTTGTCTTAAAGGTCCAAGTCTCGACATAGAGGCATTGAAGTCTGAGATGACTTGAGTGAGGGTCTGGACAAAGGAAGACACATCGAAAATATCCTGCAGCACAACCATGGCCTCCAACCTAGTAGCGATGGCAGCGTGGCCTCCAACCTACTAGCGATGGCCTCCAACCTATGCCCTATCTAGTTTTGCTTGAAGGACACTTGCAAGGCTTAGCAAGTGCTTTGCTGCTCCAGCATCACGTTCTCAAGCTCCACCTTCTGCAACTCGCCCTCGCGAAAAAGCCTTGCATCAAAGGTTCTCATCTTTTATGAACTCCAGTGTCGACAGGCCTGGCAAAGGGCTCCTTGTTCTCCGCCGACATCTTGACGATAAACCCCCCACCTTCAACATGTGAAGCTGCAAAGCTGAATGCAGCACATCCGCATCGAGTCTCACAAGTTGTACTTAGCTTCTGGTTCAACAAGGTCCGATTTCTTACGAAAGCTCCGGTTACAGGGTGTTACACACGCTGAACCTGAAGAGCCCCATTGAGCAACCGACCATTTGCAGAGCGGATCGCATAAATGGCGCTTCCAGAGCTCTCTCCCAATTTCTTTTCCACAATGTAACGCACCTGCTGTGCAGAAAAGTGCTGCACGGCTAGACTCTTCCAATCGGCCTCTTTTGAGATGCCGAAGGGAAGCGACAAACATGGCACATCTCAGCCCTAGGCAAAAGAAGCAACAATATCCTCTGCAGAACCAAATGCCTCCTTCTCCACGAACTCAACGTTCACTGGCAAGTTGTTCCAAGCCTAGCTGAAAAAAATGTTCCAAGGGTTTGGTTTTTGCTGAAAAGCCTCTACGAACTCACGAAACACCAAATTCCGCCCAGTTGCACAGCTCACGAACTGAACAGTTTCCAAAGCCTAGGTGCTTAGAAACAGCACAAACCGAAAAGAGTTCTTGGAGGCTCTCAAGTCAACCACAAAGATCACTCCTTTCGCCTTTCACTCTTGTCACTGCATCGAATTTACAGAATCAGTTCCAAACGGCACTTGCAACATCACTGGCTTCAGCGGGAGAGCGCCTTGGTTGACAGCTTTGGAATCCCAACTTTAAAGAGGGTATGCTTATATAGCTTGCTCGTGTCCTTAGGGTTCTCGCCCTTGCTTCAAAACTTTGATCAATTTGATGCCTAAATATGGAGCTCAATCGCTTCATACTGAGTGGCTCCAGCTGCTCCACCTGGCTCTTCAACTTCTCGGAGTGACTCACGTCGCTCACACCAGGCTCAGCGGAACTTCGAGCCTCGTCTCCAACCTCGTCTCTCTCCTCCTTTCCCTCCTCAGCCTCCTTGACCTCTTCTTCCAACTCCGATTCTTGCTCCTTCGGCTCCTGTGCAGCAAGGCCCGGTGTCCTCTTTGCCTCCGCTTCTTCATCTTCCTCGAGAAGATAAGGATCGGTCCTGAGCAAAAGCTGGGAGGTGCGCGAGCTTTGGCAAAGATCGCGTCAAAATGGACACGGAGAAAGGAAAGGAAATAGAACATAACCGGAACAAGCAAAGCGAAAGAAGCTAAAGAAATCAAAACAATAAATGATCAAAACGACACAAATCTCTGTCACTTCCAAGAGTCAATGCCACTTCATCCCTACAGCAAGCACAAGAAGCATACCCTTTAGCCCTTTAGCTTAGGAGATTCATCCGCTAAATCCGTCAACACACAACCGGTAACTTTAAGATAAGGCAAACAGGGCCAGAAATGTCCAACACAAAATGCAAAGTGGTAACACAAGTGCAAGGAAGCGAAGGGGAGCCCCTAGTAGCGTCCTTGTTCCTAGTAGCCACAAAGTGCCAGAAAGCGAAGGAAGGACATCCTGGTGTGCCACCACAAAATCTGCTGGTGTGCCTTTGAAGATCTTCATCGCCTTCCAACAGTGGTGTCCATACTGGGCCCGAAATTGATTTTTTCAAGAACAAGAATCAGGAAAAGTCTAAAAATGAGATAGTATAAATGATGGATTTATCCAAAAGTTTTCAGGAAAAAACAATAGGCATGGAGACCTTGCCTGCATCCACGCGATCTATCGAAGAATTGGAATGCTCCTGAGCACAGAGTTAAACGCCTAGTACAGCAGGTGCTCTCAAATACTGTGGATAGTCCCGGTATAATTCAACAAAATGTCCAAATTTGTGTGTGACATTTAGACATTTGAGAAAATGGAAAACTAAACAATGTGTGTGTGTGTGCCTCAAGTGTTTTGAAGGTAACTCAATAGCACTCGGGGTACCACATCCAACGGTCAACTGTGAGAAATTGAACGTGAAACGATTGGCGACCTCATCTCGCTCAAAAAATGTCAACTACACATTGACGTGGAGAGGTTGTAGAATTAACATGCATTCGTCCAAAAGCACACATCCCACGAAGTTCTCCTGTGAATTGGCTTGCTTCAACCTGGAAACAAATTGGTGTGTGCAACTATCACTCACATTGCCCCTACTCCTGTATCATATATGTTGCTTGCTCAATTCCATGCCTCTCACATTTTGAATACAATTTTTGAAGCCGCTCTGCCAAATGACTGGGCAAATTGGACAGGGTTTCCTCGGCTATGGCAACACCAATGCAACACATCGTGCGACAATGTTTCCAGCAACATGACTACACAGTTCTCCAAACAGTGCTTGCACAAGTCTCTGCCCCTTGTTGGATTCTCTCACATCTAGCCTCAGGTCCAGAATGAAAACAAACAACATCTTACATATTCAAACCAAGCTGCAAGTACAGCAGTGAGCTTTTCTGACATTGATGTCACATCATGGGGGCCGACCGCTGAAAACGCCCACACATGTGTAGAACAATGATTTTGGGTTGGTGAAATGTGCTGCACAAGCCTTCAAAGTGAACAAAAAGGATGCACCGTAAAGCCCTACGACACAACCATGAAGATGTCTTGCTTTTGAGCCTGCAGGGACACACTTCGCTCATCTACCCGATGTTGTGCAGAATTGGGTTTCGCAAAATCTGAATCCTCACCATTGCAGTCATAAGATTCGGCACCCAACAACGACGACCGGTCAGCTGCCACGCAACACAGGCAGCTTGCATCTAGTTTCACAAAGCAAAGCATCTGGTTTTATTAGAAGAAGTTTTCTTTCTGCAAAGGGTTTTTCCAAGTTGGCAAGCTGCACGACGAATGGCCCGCCAAAGTGGAAACACAAGCGCACCAGCTTTAGGCGCACTGTATATCACAGGACGGTATGTCAAATACACCTTTTTGAGACTTGCTGTGGAAAAGTCAATGGCAAAGGTGCAGGTAGCACTCGAGCAAATTAGTGGATGTAGTTTGGCCACACTAGATTCACTACATACAACAGTGCAACACCCAATTTTCATGGCACGGTGACATCACTCACAGACGCAACTTTTCCACACAGTGTGCCCCAAACTAGATACAACCATGTAACACCCAACGTCGTGGGCACCGCCACCCATCCCGCTTTGCGACATGCCGCGTCTGCTCCGGCATGTTTTTTTTCCCCAATGCGGACTCGCGCAAATGCACTTTCCACCGAGGCCGCGTAAAACCGAATGGCACAGCGACATCACAGACGCAGCACCAAGCCTCGTGGGCACCGCCACTCATCCCGCTCCAGCGGCGCGCCGCATTGACACCAAGATGTTTTCCTTCCCTCTATGGCGCAAACGCACTTTCCACCAGGGCCGCGCAAAACCGCACGGCGCACCTACATGACAGACATGATGTCTCCAGACGGCTTGCCACAGACAGATACAACACTGTAACACCAAGCCCCCTCAACATCAACTCAGTTTCAGCAGCTCAGAACTCATTCCCTTGACTTGCAAATCACTTGACTCGAACTATCTGTGGGCCAAGTTGACTCCAGCTTCTGTCATCACAAAAATTGAAAGCCAAATATTGCAAACAAGATGTAGTGCTCGAAGACATAAGGCCGTCAAGCGCACAGTCAGGTTGAAAAGCAATTCAAAAAGGACATCCCTTCAAGATACTTTCATCCTCACAAGCCCAAAAGAAAGTAACAAAATGAAAGAAAACACGATCAAAACGATCGAACGTGCCGTTTTCACAGCTAAACCTTGGGCCACTTAAGGCCGGCGAAGTCGAGTCTCGAACTGCACATGTCAAAGGTGGAAATCTGTAACACTCCACCTAAAAAGCGGCCTGGAGCAAAGGTCGCCTTTTTACACTTCACCGCTTTCTATGTAGCGGCGCGCTCTCTCTTCGAAGTTATCTTCCCATTGACTGGAAAGAACCGCCACGCTGAATGCAGCGAAGTCCCGCTGCTCTTCTTGGTTCCAGCCCATGATGTGGTCAAACACCATGTGGTAGTACCGCTTGCCATAGAGGGAGGTCAAGCGGGTTCGTAGGAACTCCTTCAATCCCAGCTTCTTTCAATTGTCTTGCTCTTGGCTTCTCTTCTGGCTTCAGCCATGAAATCAAAGTCTCATAGTCCCACCAGTCAGCATCAACCGGTGGAATTTCATCATAGGGCATCTCGGCCATTTCTCTGGCTCTGGCATCAGCTCTGTGGGCACTTTGGGCAAGTTGTTCATCAATGTCCACTTCCATAGGGTTTGCTTCATCTCGCTCTGAGGTCGATGGTTTGTACCTTCTTTGATATCCCCTAAGGGGATTGCTAATGAAGTATTCTTCACCACTCTCTGCGTCATCGGAACTTGCCAACAACCTGTATTCTTGTAGTCGTCCAAGTTCTGGATTCCAATCAGTCACCCAGCTTCCAACCCAGGTGATCTCCCATGGGTTGTTTCCATTGTCATCTTGACCTTCTCCTTCGGCTCCTGGTTCAGATTCTTCATCTTCTGGCCACATTCGAGTCTCGGGAGTTGCTTCATGAACTGGTTCATCTGCTTCTTCTTCTGCTGATTCTCTATGCAGCAAGGGTTCATAGATCCTTGGTGTCGGATCAGGATGCCATTCACCAATGCCTGCTCCCATGCTTGCTCTCATGATCATACCCACTTGATTCTGGAGATCTTGTTCACGTTGAAACTCCATAGTGGTCTCCTGTCGTAGGAAGCGACTGCACGTTCGAAAGAAAATGGAAATCTTCATTCGAAATCTGTAGCCCATGTAGATGCCAAAGGCGAACGCAAACAGGGTGTAGACACAGGCGATCTTAAAGATCATCCACCCTGTCCACCACTCTCCTTCTTCTGTCTGCAGTCTTTCTCCAGTCACTCCTTGTTGCAGCAAAAGCAGAGTCACTGCTCTCACAACATTCGTGAGTATCTTGGCTCCTGAACCCCCATGGTCCACAACCACCATTTGCACCATCTCCTTCTTCACCTCCTTCATCTTCTTTGCAAGCATCTTCTTCTCCAGTTCTCGGCTGAAAGTTTCTTCGCCAACTCTTGTGCAAATCTCCGCTTTTCCTTCTGCATTCATCTCCATGATGCCAATCAAGTACATCAGAAGTTCACGACGTTGTCGACTCAGCTTCTTTGTCCCCAAATCGGAGACATTCAGCAAAGTTGGGATGCTCTCCATGACCAAAGTCTCTTTCTTCACTTCGAGTTGCATCCACAAGTACTTGATATCGATGTGCTTCAATCTTCCAACTCCAAGTCGTTCGGTGAAGGCACGACATGAGCTGCTGTCAGTGATGGCCTTAATCATCACTTCTCGTCGACTGATGAAGACCCATAGATCTTTCACCTGAAGTGCTTCTGCAGCCCCACCGGCTGCTGCCAAAAACTCGGCTTCACAGCTGCTCAATGCAATGCTCTTTTGTGATCGGCTCCAACTTGTCACCATGCAGCCATTCAAAAACATCTGGACCGAACTGACACTATGTCTTCTTCTTGAACTGCTGCTCTTGTCACCAGCCCAGTCGCTATCTGTGAATGACTCCAGGTAGTCGGGGCCTTCTGCATCCTCCACCTGACAAAGAATCTCTGACTTCTTGCTTCTGTACTTTTGGTAGGGAAGTAGCAGGCCATAGTTCTCAGTGCGCCGCAAGTAAAGGATCACGCGCTTGATCTCTGCCTCAGCTTGCTTTGTTGGTTGTGCCATGAACTGACTCAGGTTGCGGATGCAATGTTGTACATCCACTCGATCTTGGCTCACATAGAGCAACGTTCCAAGTGCTGAGCGAAATCGAAACAAGTAAATCCCCCCTTCATCTCAGCCAACAGCCACTCCAAGGCTTCTCCTTCTCCAGCGATGATGAGGTCATCCACATGGCATATTGCCGCAAGTGCTCGGACAGAATGCCTGAACAATGAAGGCAAACTCAAATGGCTTTCAAAGCCCCATCCAACAAGGTGTTTTGTCAGGAACTCTTCTTTGTGGTGAGACACTCGTATTAAAATATACAAACATACAAA